ACCATCTCTGCTTTCAAAGATAACCCAAGGTGATGAAAACTGATGGATCAGACCTGGTTGGTTATGCTGGGCTTTGGGATACATCCTCTGCTTTATGAATCCACTCTTTGAGCTCTAAGCAGCAGGATAATGTCTCTGGCCTGGAAGAGCATGGAAAATTCTGCACAGTACAGCAGAAGCATCTCCCTTGAGCCTGGTGGGTGGTGGGACGATGGGGACAGCTCACATGCCTTGCACCCAGGCAGCTCCTTGGATTAGTTTATAGAAGCAGCTGAGATTACTTGTATCCCAGTGCGCATCCCCCTTCTCTGCTTGCACAATGCCGTTTGAAGCAAGGGCATCTCTCATTGTGTGACTCTAGATAAACCACAGAGCCTCACCCTTTGTTACAGCAGCCCCCTCTCCTGCCGAGTCTGCCCCACCTGCCACATACCTTTGCAGGCATTGCAGGATTTTGTTGCAAGTATTCCCATGGTTAAGCACCCTCCGTGGTGCCAGATTCACCTCCTCACCCTTTGTCTTACACCAGTGCCACAGTCAGGGTGGTCACACTCTGCTGCTGCACATGTGCTTGGGCATGCAAACAGGAGCAGAGCTGCTGGAAACCACATGGAGACAAGGAACACCAAGGATTCTGGCTTCACCAGTCCACACCATGCCACAGGCAGTGGCTGCACCTTATGTTAGGGAGCAGAGCAAATCCTTGAGGGTGCAACTGCTGAGCCTTGGGAGGGTCGCAATTTCCCTGTGATGAGTGAAAAACTGCACCTCTATAGTTCAAATAGCCCATGTGCTTGAATGTGTTGTCCCAGCTACACATTCCCAGTGGAGATTACTCTCCAAAGCTGCTCTTTGGAGTGCAGTCCCCTCAGGGTGCCTTGGGGGTGTGTTTTGGCAGGCTGCTGGCACACCATAGGTGTGCATTGGCAGGCAGTGCTTCCTCTGGGCCTATTTGCTTCACAAGCCACTGAATTCACTCTTCAAGGAAAAGAAGGCATGAGGTCATTGCTGTGTGGCTCCCTGCTCTTCTTTTGGGGCAATGCACACCCAGGCATGGGTAGAACAGCCCTGGTGGTGACTGCCAAGTGTCAGAGCAGTGATGGGGATATGGGTGACATTTTGGGGTCTCCGGCTGCTGAGAATTTGCTTGTCTCCAAAGCTGACCTTTGCTGTCACTAAAACTTGCACAAGCTTGTAATTTTTAACTAGTCCCCCCTGTAGGGGGCTTGTTATTTTTTTCAGGACAGGGTTTGAAAATGCAAGACATCTACAGTAGTAAAGATTTTATTGTGCTGGCAACGGACTGTAAAACTTGATTACATGACACTGGGGATTGCCTAAACCTTGTTCCCACTGATGCAACTGCTCATGGTCGGAGGGATGTGAGGGAGGGAGGTGGCTCTGAGTCACGTCCAGAGGTAGCTTAGCTCAAAGTGAAGGAGCAGCCCACTTCCACCCAGCCACTCCCTTTGGCCAAGTGAGCCCAATGTGGACCTGAGGATCCAGGGGGTCACAGGAGGCATGCAAAGCCAAAACAATGCATGAACACTTGGCTCATCACTGCCTAATCACATGAAAATCATGGGGAAGCCCAGCCTGGAAGGAGTAAGCTGAGATTTTTCTGTAGAAAGAGCTTTTCCATCTCAAAATGGGTTCCCCTGTTGGCCCCCTCACTCAGTTCGCTGCTGACATGGGAGTTTTCCTTCTAAGACAAAACTTTCCACAGTTTATATCCGTTTTATATCCATTTATATCACTGCTAGCATTTTTCATATTCCAAAGGACCATTTATGGTAAGAAAATACGTTTTCCAATAAATAATCAAAGTGATCATATTCTGGAAGGGGAAAAAATCATAGTAGGAAACTTTAGCAAAAAAAGAATTGGCCTGTGCTGAACATTGAGCCAGCATGATATCTTTTTTCCTTCCAATAAATCTTCTGGCTTATTTCTGTACCCAAACTACAGTGACCCAGGAGGAATTCAGCCCTTCCCCTGCTGCGGCATGCTGCAGAAATGCCATGAGCTTTTTGAAACTACCTCTAGGATTTGGTAAGCCAAGAGTAAGAGAAGCAACAGACTAATAACATGGCACTTCCAAACCAAAGTAAAACAGCTTTTTTTGGCCACATTGCTAGTGTAGGCCATAGGGAAGTCTGGCAGGGAAGCTACCCAGAAGGGAGATGATAGTGAATAGAGCAGCACCCTTACAAAGTCCCTTTGTCAATAAAACATGAGTCCAGGTGAGCTCAGGTAACATTCAAAAGTGCAAGAAGGAAAACTCTAAATGGCAAATCTCAGCATGTGATTAACCTGATGAACACCCTGCTCCAGAGCCTTTCCAAGGCAGTCACTGGACTCAAGTCCACTGAACCTCATGCAGTGTGATTACCACAGGAAAATGATTGCCAAAGGGATCTTTTAGGTAATTCTGCAGGTTGTCCTCTTTGCGTGAGATGCTGAGTGGGGGGGTCCATGCTTTGGAGGAAGCATGAGTGGCACAAGGCTTCTGCTCCTGGCTTTGAAAACCTACTTCAAATGAGGTAAAATACCAGGTTTCATCCCATGTAGCTGCAAATCCCCCATCTTTTCCCAGTAGAAAGAAGGTCTGAGTAAGTGAATTCCCTGAACTCATATCTTGCTGAAACCTGAGTCCCTCTTCATGGGTATACCACTAGGTCATTCAAGTACATTCAATATCTTTTTTGAGGGGAAGAGAGACAGAGATAGTGTTACACATTGTGCAGAAATGCTATTAACTGTAGTTGAGCATCACAACTTGGATTTATTAGCAGGAGGCTGAAAGACCTACATGGCAGGGGATTTAACTGATAACCTTGTCTTGCATCCGTTTGCGCAAATGAGTCCTCTCCCTGTGTGCTCATCAGAGATTTAGCACTTCTCACCAGCCTTTTTGCAACCACAGTCATTTAGCAAACATATGATACTTCACACTCAAAGCCACGATAGGGGCATACGGGATTTCCTACCTCCAAGATGTTGATGGATGGAATTGCTTTGGCTACTCAAGAAATCACAGGTCTTGTTCAAGTCTCAAGACATTGCACTGATTTCAGTGAACTTCCTTCTGATTTATACTGTGTGTGGAGAATCAGGCTTCCTCTAAGTTAAACAAGCAACAGAGTTCAAACAGATGAAAATGTCTCTTACTCAGTGATGCTGAGTACTTGTCATCTCAAAATTTGGAGCAATGGGAAGTTTGACGATGATCTCATCCCCAGCATTTAATATGGACCTTTTCAGTCAGGGGAAAAAATGGAAAAGAAAAGAAAAAAGAAAGTATACTTAAAGCAGAAAAAGGCACAAGCTTGCTACTGGTGGCAGAAAAGTTGAGCACAAAGGTGCCCCAAATTTGGGTAATGTTGTGAAAAAGAGAGAGAGCTAGACCTCTTGCCAAAATCAGACCCATAAAAGCCAGTGGATAACTCTTGGCCCACCATCTCCTATTAAAAGCAAACTTACCAGCCAGAATGGAGATAATCAGATACTTGCTGGTTTTCACTGGGATTTGCCAGAAATGTTTCTTGGTGTTGAAGATGCTATTTCAGGCAGAGCCCCAGAGAGAAGAGATGAGATGCTCAGAGCTCTCAGCTGCAAATGGCAGAGACAGAGTCTTTGCTCTGCTTAAACCTAAACAGGAATTTGAAGGGACAGGTGCAGGAGAGGACCTGACTTTCAGTGAGAGAAGGAGGAAAGGCTTATTTTTTTTCTACATACACAATTTCAGATGCTCAAACTCTGGCCCTGTGCTGAGCCCAAATGACAGCCCAAGATCTCCTGCAAAATGAGATGTTATTCCTCCCCCAGCCCAAGCTGTGGACACGTGTCTCTTGCTGTGCACTGCATGGCCAGTGAGTGGGGCCACAGATAGCCTCAGCTCAATAATGTGTTTTCCTTCTTCTAACACCTGACAGTAGCATGATTTCACCAACAACTTGGTCCTATTGCTGCATACTTTCCAAGGCTATACTAATCAAACAGATTAACATGTTTGCTTTTAATTTTACATTTTAGAAACAGCTGTTGAACCACCTCAATGCCAACAGTGTCTATTGCCAGCATTAGTGTCATTAGCAATCATTGCAGCTGTAATAGCACCATTATCTCCTGCTAAAAGGGTCACTGATGGCTCAGGACAGACCTTCAGGGACGCGAAAACAGGTCAGACTAAATGAGATGGAAACTGCAAACTGTTGCTTCTATCTTGACTCACATGAAACCTGTGGATGCTACGCAGAGGGAAATTAATTTGCACAAGTAGCAAAAATTTTGGCTACTGTGTCATCAAGGAGGTGGGGCTCATGCTAGCTCTTGTGTCGCTTGGGCTAATGTAAAGCATATAAATATGGGACAGAGAGAATGGGGATATTACTACCAACCAGTCTCCGTCTCTCAGAGCAAATTTCTCTTCACCTCTTGCTGCCGCTTCTTTGGGTAAGTCTGATTGCCTCCCTTTTAGCTTCTACCTGTTTTGCAGAGCTGTTTTTTTAAGCTGGTGTAGCAGCTGGTGACAGGTGCTGGCTCCTTGGCTGAAGAAAATGAGGTCTCATGTCTTTGAGCACATTATGCTGTTTTGGAGCCATCATCATAAATTACAGACCCTGACTTGGCAGAGAGGATTTTTCCTCTGTAGGTGTCTGCTGATCTTGACTCTCCTGGGCATGTGTGCTATGGGGCTTGATGGAATGGTTCTTCCAGTCTAGTTTGGGCTTTTGTGGCAAGACAGCAGGGAGACCGAAACTGATGTGAGCAGGCGGATGAACTTATGGTTATAATCATTAGTCATTTACTGTGACTTGTAAATCCTGATGCAGAAATCTCTCCTTCCCTCTCAAGCTAGTGCATCATTAGAAGGCCCTTTGGTCTCATTTCCATGCGAAAGGAGCTGAAGGATATAAGATGTTTGATTACAATCTGTTTTTTCCTCCTAGACCTTCCTGTGTCTCCTCTGCCTCTTAACCCTAGGCCTCACCCTCACCATGGCTCTCTGGATCCGATCGCTGCCTCTTCTGGCCCTTCTTGCTCTTTCTGGACTGAGGACCAGCCATGCAGCTGCCAACCAGCACCTCTGTGGCTCCCACTTGGTGGAGGCTCTCTACCTGGTGTGTGGAGAGCGGGGTTTCTTCTACCCCAAAGAGCGACGGGATGTGGAGCAGCCTCTAGGTAAGTCAGGCTGATTGTGAATGCAATCCTAAGCTATGTGATGTGAAATGCAACAACTGCCTGTCTTTGACAGTGACACCAGGAATGTCCTTGATGGGGAATGCCAGGAATACCTTTAGCATACCAACAGCATCACATTGCCAGTGGAAAGCTCTTCAGGTTAAAAAGGCAGAAGAGAGGGCAGGCGGGGAACAAAAGGAATTGTGCCTGAAAGCTCAAACTTGTCTATTTCTTTGTGTGGCCATTACACCAGCCTGTGAGTATTCATAGAAAATAAACATGGAAGGAACTTAGAACGTTTCCTTCTGCCCCAAGACAGGATCAGTTGTCATCCTATTCCTGACACATACTTGTCTGGTACACTCATTAAAACCTCCAGAGAGAAAGCTGCTTCTGCCTTCTGAAACTGCCCATTTCCAAGCTTAACTGACCTTGTTCTTGAATGTTTCTTCTCAAGATCTAACCTGAGCATCCCGTGCTGTAAATTACTTCTTGTCTTCTCCATAGTGGGCATAAGGAAGAGTCCACTCCTTTCTTCTTTATGACTGGTTTTCAAAATATTTGAATACTGATCCTATGCCTAGTGTTAACCTGTCCTCAGCTACACAACCTTACAGCCTCTTTAGGGTTTTTTCTAGATCTCAAACCATGCAAGTTGTTCTGCATTCATCCACATCCTTAGTGACTGGTGAGGCCTGGAGAAGCACATCAGACCCCAGATGAGGCTTTGATGTGCCATGTAGAGTGAGCAAAGTGGAAGAACAATACTGTGTGGTTTTCACACCTTGTTCCTGTCTACACAGACAGTTTGACTTTTTCAAAGTAGCACTGCACAGCTGATTGACAGGGATCACTGTCTCCCTTAGATGCCTTGGCCCTCCTTTGGGTGGATCAGCAGTCCTTGAAGGATTTCTACCACAGTCAAACCCTTGTCCTGGATGTGCAATGAATTCTTCCTGCACACCTTTAGCATCTTTCCCATTGCTTACTGAACCCATCTTTTCCACGTTTCTATCATTTCAAATGTAATTTTTAATACTAATCCTGTCCTTCAAGAGGCTTGCAGCCCCCACAGCATTTTATCATCTCTTATTTCATGGTGGCAAAATGCTGGTGGAGCTGCTTTAGTTCCCCTCCTTAGGACTCCTGAACCACTGACGAGTCCAAGCGCCAGGAGTCAGGAGACAGCTGCCCTGTCAGCACACCCTGCAGTGCCTGGTCCAGCACTTGGTGTCTGTGTTGCAATGCAAGTGGAATGAAGCAGTCCCTAGAGCTGCCCTTCAACACAGTGTTTGTATCTAGATAGAGCCAGGACCTGTAATGATCCAGCTGTAATGCAAGGGTGATGTCTCTCCTGGAGATGGGTGCCTGTGGCTCCTTTCAGCTCTGGCTCCTCTTGTGAGCCCAGCAAGCACAGTCTTTCTTCTGTCTTCCACACTACTAATGAAGACTATGAATAGATGCAGAAGAGACCCTTGCCAAATCCCATCCATTTCCACCCTCTTGTTTCAAGACGTACCATTACTTAACCTCTCCTGACTACAATACATCTCTCCCACCATTTCTTTTCCCATCACATACTGTTTTCATTCTTATCCAATTCCTTCTGCTATGTAGGTAACCATCCTGTGAAATAGGCTCAGAGGTCTTTGTAAGGCGAAACAAGTTAATGTTGTAGCCGAAGGTTTGCCATGATTTGTTTAGAATGGCCAGCTGGGATGTTATTTGTTCCATTCTCTGAATATTTATTCCTGAACACCATCACGAATGGGTGTTAGCCAAATTCCCTAAATGCCGTACAGACAATTTCACTGGGCCAAACAGTTCACAAGTATTTGAGGACTTTTCATCTCTTTTTCCAAGACTTTTGCCTGAGCCACCACCTTTGTCACACAAACTGGTTGTGTTTACCATGTGGTCACAGCTGGTTTGAAGGATGAAGACAACTAAATCACAAAATATTGACTGGCTGTTTCCTCTTCTACTTAATATTGAACCAAATCTTTCCTAAATTTCCCTCCTAGCACACTAGGATAATGATTTTGTGTTACTCTTGTGCCTCATTCATTGCATCATGCTTTGGGAGCTTGGGAATTTTGCATCTTATGCTGTACTTTCATATTGCCCTAGAAACCACATCTCACTGTCACTTTCCAGGCATTTTGTCTTTGTTGTTAGGGGCTCTTTTCTCTTTTCTTCCTGCAGGAAAACAAAATCACTGATTTATTTGCCATTTGCCATATTTTCATTGGGCAACTAAAACCTGAACAGTTCTGTGCACAAGTTTTCAAGTTCTCACCAGTAAATGTGACATTTTATTGAGTTTCATCTGTGTCCAAATACCCCAATTTATCATTACTTCTAAAAACTTGCCCCCGGCTGTGATTGTGGACACAGACAAATGCTTTTGCCATCAGCTTGAGGCAATATCCAGGCAGCCAACAGGAACAGGCTGTTCAGAAACAGCTGGGAAATGCACCCAGCCTCAGGACTGGACTGTCCTTGCAATCCTTGGCACATAGAAATCCCAGTTGTCTGTCCAGGCCCCTGGCAGAGTGGGTAACTGCCTTAGTGGGGGCTGCAGTCCCAAGTCACTCATCTCTCTGGAGCAGACCATCCCATTTCATCATCTTACTTAGTAATTGCTCACCCCAGGGTGGGTGAGCAACTTCTTTATACACCTTCCTCAATAAAGCCCCTTTATCCATTTGTCATCCACACTGCTGAACATTGTCTAGTTTTAACCTGTCCTCAGCTATACAACCCTACTATCTTCTTAGTTACTTTTTTCTAGATCCTAAACTATACAAGTTGCTCTGCATTTGTCCACATCCTTACTGACTGATGAGGCCTGGAGAAACGCAAGGGAGGGTGCAGCATGTCTCTTTGCTATACACCTTCTTCAATAAAGCCCCTTTATCCCTTTGTCATCCAGACTGCTGACCTCTGCTCAGCTTGGCATCATCTGAACACCATAGGATAATTTTGAGAGAGGAAACATAGAGCTTGAAGTTGTTACAAGAATTATTAAGCCAGGCAAACCCTTGCAAATTCCTCCCCATTTTCTAACCAACTCTGGCTTAAAAATCTGATGTCTGCACTAAGGGGTTGTCTGCAGGGCTCAATAGCCAGGGCTGATGCTGTGTGATGTTCCACTTCTCTTTTTCTTCCCTGGCAGTGAGCAGTCCCTTGCATGGTGAGGTGAGAGAGCTGCCCTTCCAGCAGGAGGAGTTTGAGAAAGTGAAGCGAGGGATCGTTGAGCAATGCTGCCACAACACATGCTCCCTCTACCAACTGGAAAACTACTGCAACTAGTGGCAAGGCCAGCGGTGGGGAGCTCACGGGCCACAAGTAGAAACATGCACTTATGCTACTGCACCTTCAAAGCAATTGAATAAATGTTGTGGATCTATTGGAGAGACTGTGCTGGTTCATATGTCCATGCCCAAATGTTGTGGATCTATTGGAGAGACTGCTGGTTCATATGTCCATGCCTTGGGGAGCAGGCACTGATGCCTGTGTTAGGGTGTCAGTGTCTGTGCTTGGCCAAGGCAGTTTTAAAAGGTCCTAGAGAAAGCCAATACTTCACACTATCCCTCTGCCATACAAATGAACTCCATGGGAGCGAGGGAGGGAGGAGTATTATGTAGCACTGGGGCAGCTATGTGGAGCATCCAGTACTCCCAGTGCTTGGAGGAGGAGGAGGAGAAGTAAAAGGCAGAGAGGTTTGAACAAGGCTTTTCTTGCTAGGGAAATATTACAGGGTAATATCTGTGACAATGCCATGCTGATCAACTTCCTGCAGTTCACAGCCCAAATATAGCCAGGCAGCTGGGAGACTGAACTTCCTCAGCTACATAATGGAAACAGTATAGATTAAACAAAAAACGTCACCTATGAATTTTACTCAGAAAAATTGTGGATGACCATCATGGCCAATTCAGAAAGCTTGTTCATTTCCCCCTTCTGCTTGTGGGAGGCCCAGACAGAGACTGGGATCTCTGGGATGTGCTTGTTGTTCACAAGAAAATCACAAGCCATGCACAGAAAGAGAATTTAATCCAAAAGGAGTTTTGGATCTATTGGCCAAGTGCTGGGCAATATCCTTGTTCCTGTTGCTGCAAACCTCATTCAAGTACCTGGCCCTAAAATTGCCACTTTCTAGGAGGCAAAGCAACACCAGCAGGCCAGAGTGGCAGAGAGTCTAGGGAAGGGTTGTCCCCTCTGCCAAGGGACTCCCACGCCAGTCTAGTGAAAGTCATACAGGAGGTCCCTGTGGGATGGACTCAGCCTGGCAGAGGTGACAGAAGTGGTCAGAGCTGCATTTTGCTGGTGGCAGATTTTGAAAGCTGGTCTGAGAGGAAGCTGTGGTTTTAACAGCCTCTTTTCCCAAACCAGATCCAACTGCCTCCAGTGGAGCTGCACAGATGGAAGCTGCCATTTCATCCTTGCCAGGATGCATTACTCCTGCTCCCACCATGAGCACAAAACAGGCCAAACCACTAAAAACTGAAAGGCTGGAAGAGCAGCTGGAGGAGCTGCTGAAAAGAAGATACAGACACGAAAAAGGAAATCAAAAAGCACTTGTGATTACCTGTGGTGACTTTCCATATGTGTTCCCTTGATGCATCCAAGAACCTGAGTCTGTGGCCTCTTTCAGGTGCCACACCAACACTGCTCAGCCAGTCCTGTTCCCCCTGACCACCCTTCCATCCCTCTCCACTGCCCCTTCCTCTGGGCCCTGCTGAATATTCCCAAGCAGCCTCAGGCCAAAATCTTGTGGTTATGAAAGCATGGCAAGATGTTTGCTATTTCTGAGCTACTTGGCTTCCATCAGACCTCACAGTGTATAGCTCCAGTGGTTTCTAAAAGGACCTCCCTAGAAGCAATTCTACCTGTCCTGGTGCCCCATGAGATCAGGACAGGTGTTACTGAAGAAAATATAGCAAAGCTATTGCTCATGGTATGGCCACCAATATATTCAGGCATGCAGCAGAGTTCTAGCAATCCCATCCATTCATCTACCCCAAGGGGATGCCACCCTGGTGCCAAAGGCAGAGGTTTGGGTCTGCTTCCATGTTCTGGGGGGAAAGCACATCCAAGAGATGTGTTCCTCTGCATAGCTGAAAACTCAAGACTTGTTGCAGTCACACAGACTTGAACTACATTACCTAGGATCAAGCTCCTGCACTCAGAGTTAGTGGTCCATGGAAAGCAAGTGAGCAGAGAGGCTCTTCTGAGACAAGACTGAAACTTTTTAGTGCAGATCTGAGATTTCCATCTGTATCTACCTGACAAAATTTACAGGTCTGCTGATGGGAAAGTCTGGAAGTACGAATACTGGAAGAGAAAGAGGTGGTGTAAGAGGAGCCTGGAGTGCTTGACTGCCAGACTGGTACCACCAGCACTTCTTCAAGTGCTGCTCAGTGGTGATGGAAACAGCTGGAAGAAAACGGGTATGGCCAGGTCTGTGGAGATTCCTCTGGCTTCTCTAGGAATGGGGCAAATGGGTAATGCCAAGGACAGGCACAGACCAGACTGGTCTAGAGCACTAACCTGCATCTTGCATTGCAGAGAGAGCTTACACGTGTTCAGAACCAAAGGAACCAGCAGTTACTTGCAGCAAGACTGAACTCCTACAACCACAGTGGATCCTGCATCTGGCTCAGACCTGTTCATCTGCTGGCACTCCTGCCCTGGCAGCAGTGCTTGGGTGAGGACAGCTCTTCAGAGATGCCCAGCTCATTTCCTTCTCTGCCATTGTTTGGTCTGCTCCTTTGTTTGTTTTCTTTTTCTGAATGCTCTCAGTGGGTTGGGAAATTACAAATGCCAGTTTTTCTGCTGGAAAATGTTGATTCATCAAAATCAGCACTCCATGCAGGACCAGACTGGTTTTAGCAAGGCAGGATTTGAAGGGGTGAAGGGACTCAGGAGGTTCAGGTGCCTGCTCTTCATCCTCTGCATCTGATTGCCCAAGACTGCATGCTAATCACCAGGCTCTGGGCTACCCTGGGGTGCACACTTTTCCTTCTGCTGAAAAGTTCCGTAAAGTTTCAGCAAATGCAGAGTGGGAATTGTTTTGAAATCTTTAGATGCAGCAGGGCCATCCTCTCTTACCCAGCTCATGATGCAATCTGATGATTTCTCAGCAAGTCTGGATGCTAGGTGGGATGGGGGTCTGCACACACACTGGAGGCCCAGATGGTGATTACCTGGATCTGGAGCAGAAGAGAGAAGAATGAGGAGCAGAAAGGGTCTGTGATAGAGATTCCTCACCATCCCCCTGCCTTTGTGTTTCCTGGGCAAAGGAGTAGGCACCTGGGGAACCTAGGGAAGGGAAGGGAAGGGAAGGGAAGGGAAGGGAAGGGAAGCGAAC